AAAAAAAAAAAAAAAAAAATTAATCAATTAGTCAATAAATCACTAAACCAATGAACGAAACAACCAATCAGTGCATATGATAAAATGGCACAACGTTCACCAGGCCTCGTGTCGGAAAAAAATTAAAAAATGGAGTAGTTCCCCGCCCAGAGCACTTGACAGCTGAAACAATCCCATTCCCAATTTCACTTCCCATCAAAACTGTCAAGTCACATTGCCAAACTTTTTAAACCACAACTGGAAAAATGTGCTTCTAACAAATTGCACAAACAAAGAAAAAAAAAAGAATTATGGAAGAGGAAGAAGCGAAGGAAGCGCAGTCCATACACGCTTCCCAAGGAGACGACGAGAGCGTTGATCTCGACCATGTAGCGAATGTTCAAGGGGAAGACGAACCCGCGTGCGCACTAAATGACGGAGAAACGAATAAGGATTATAACCCACCAGGGGTGAAGGAAAATGAAGGAAATGACCCAAACGAACCCCAGAATGACGAGTGGCTAGTTTACGTAAACAACCAATCATATGGACCCTACAATTTAGATCAGATGAAAAAACTATGGAGTGAAAAAAGATTAAATATCATGTCCGTAATATTTAAAAAGGGAGATCAAAACTGGAAGTATGTATACAACGATGATATATTAAAAAGGTGCCTGCCGTTTAACACACCAAGTGGTGATGGTACAACGGAGGGGTTCCAGGGGGGTGCCACTGCGAAGGAATATTCTGCGGTGATGCACCAGGACACAAATCGTGTCTCTAATCTTGAAGCAAATGCGTATAAGGTAAGCGGCAATCCCAGCACGTGTCCTGACGACAGCGATGAGTGTGACCCCCACCATGACAATTACGCTCACCCACCAGACGGAACCACCGGGATAAACCCTTTAGAACTAGAAAAAATCAAAAAAAAAGAGAAAAAAAAAAAGTACCTAGAGAGAAAAAAAAAAAAAATGGAAGAAGGCTTATGCGATAAAAAAGTGAAAAATAGCTGCATCTACATAACCGGCTTACCTAGTGATATAACAAGGGACGAAATACATAATGTGTTTAAAAAAGCGGGCATTATTAAAATAGACGCCGAGACGACAGAACCGAAAATCAAAATATACTACGACGAAAACAACCAAGTGAAAGGAGACGCATTGGTTACATATGTATACACACAGAGTGTTGACATTGCCATTAAATATTTTGATAATTTTTATCTAAGACAGGATTGCATGATTCGTGTAGAAAAGGCACAATTCAACAAAAAAAAAGAAGCCTCCAAAGTTTCTAAGGAAGAATTGCTAATTAAAAAAAAAAAAATCAAGGCAGCGAAATATGAGCAACTCAGGTTGCAGAAATGGGAAGATGGGTACACCGGAACGAAAAAAAAAATCGTCATTTTTAGGAACGTCTTTTCGTATGAAGATGCAGTGGTAAGTCAGGCTCCAGGGGAATATGCCCAAACGCATAAGCACCTAAGAACACACCAATTGTGCATTTCTGTCATGGAGCTATGGAGCCCATTTTTGCACACATGTAAAAGTGCGCACAATGGGGACAAAAAGGGGATAGTTAGCGTGGCATTGAAAAAATCAGTTTGTGCGACAATTCACTCACGAAATGGCACTTACATAAATTTTCTCCCCTTAAATATTTTCTCTACTTTCATTTCATACCCCTCCCTTCCGTTCACCAAATGTAGAAACACGATGAGGGAGACCCCTTTTACGATTTTATAAAAGACCTGGTCGAAATGGTAACTGTGAACTTTGTCCAATTGCAGGGCGTAAAGTGTCATGCGCAGTTTCAGTCATGCAAAGGAGCCATCTGTGTATCATCACCGTTATTTATTAATTTTGTTTTGTTTTATTTCCCAAAACAGGAACTAAAGAAGTACGTGCCCGTGCACAAGGTGTATCCTATACCGGTAGGCTAAAAAGAATATGGCGAACAGAACGATTCGCGCAAGATGAAAAAGTGCCTCCGTGTTGGCATGTGCCTTGTGCACTCTACGTACATTCTCATGTACAAACACATACCCCTGCACATGTGGGCCCTCCCCCCCCCCATTTCCCACTTTAAGAAACACCCCAACGGAATTGTCTGCGTCAAATTCAAAGGAGTGGAAGAAGCCGAGATGATAATATCGGTAAGAGATACCCAACAAAAATAAAGAAACCAAGTGTGTATATGCCCAGTCGAACAGTAGCACTGTGAGCAGGAGGCATGGAGAACTCTATATGTACACTCCCCGCTGGGGCGAAAAACGCGGATCGATATAAAAAAAAAATTCCTCCCTTTTTTATAGTGCTTCAAGGACATGGAGCTGAATGGTAAAAAGCTGGAAGTGTATTTTTACGATGGAAAACAGGATCTGAAGGCGCAGTGCTTACCTGCACAGGTACCCCAAACAAAAACGAAACGCAGTGGGATTTATAATTGTGAAGTGGTCTAGTGTCCTACATAGTTTCTTTCCCTGCCACAGTTTTGTCTTCACCCGACTGTTATTTATTTTTTTCTTCTTTTTCATCCACATCAGAGTGCCAACAAGGCGCGTGCAGAAGACGCACCCGAAAATGAAGAGCCAGATAAGCTTACAGGTAATTCAGACATTGAGTAAAGTGCAGGCACACGAGGGAATGCCCTGCCCTCTGGGTGTGTATATACTTCTGCGCATAATGTAATGTCCATTTTTTTTTTTTTTTTTTGTTGGCAGAGGATAACCAACCGGCATTTTTGCAACACAACAATTTGCAGTCGTTTCATGTAAGCAACGAAAAGACAAACAAAGAAAAGGAACAAGTTTGATGTGCAATCACACATGTGTACAGACATGACGACGACAAAAAAACAAAAAAAAAAAAAAAAAAAAGAAGCGAAAGCTTTTATAACACCATATTAACAATATCAACCCTTCAATTCGTGTGACATCTTTTTTTTTTTTTTTTCCGCAGGATTGGATTGATAATCAGAGTGAAGATGAGGAACACGAAATTATGGTCGAATAAGTGCAGATCGTTTTGTTTCGCATCACTCCTACTCCATGTTCACAATTATTTTAATCCTCATTTGTGTCAATTTTGTTTTTTTTTTTTTTGTTCGTCCGTTCACTTGGTATGATTAAAAGGGGCCGTTAATGGACTTTTCCTCGAGCTGCAAAAGAGGATATGAAGGGAGCAAGGGTGGGTGCACATGTGTAGATGCATATGTATAGTACATGCACAGAGACGCGTAAAGCGTGGGGGGAGCATGGAGCATTGCATATGAGGGCACCCCAAAATTGTGGCAGACAACTTCAACCAAGTATGCCACAACAAGTCGATCTGTTCAACACGTTTTACGCGCCACTTTTGAAATTACATTTTTCATAATGAAGGAGAGTACATCCGCCGGGGGCTTTTCAAAATAGGAATTAAAAATTTCCTCCAAGTGGACAACCCCGTTTTGGTTGTAATTTGTATTCACTGTGTCAAAGTCCATCACATTATAAAAAACGCTTTCATCTTTCCCTGTTAAAAAGTGATTAATATTAAACATATTTTTACCCTCCCCTACCACTTTATAAGCTGTTGAAACGCCTAAGAATTTCCACTTTTTTTGCCCCAAAAAGGAATCGATTTTTTTCTTATCTTTCCGAAACCCTGGGATTTTTTTTTCCAAAATGCCCAGAATGTCCTTAACTTGGTTCCCATTCATATCATACACTTTCATATTAGGTGGAATTAACGAAACTTCCTCTGCATTGTCATTATTAGCTAGAAATAAATTCCCAAATATTTGGCATGGCATCAAACGAATGTTCTGGTCCTTCAGAGCGTTTATTTTAGACACAAATAAATACCCTTGCAGGATGATCATATACTTGCTATTCATTTTGTTAACAAACTTTATTGTGCATTCGAAAATATTGTTTTGCAAAAATTCGTTAGACCAGTAGGCGCGCGTCGACGAGGAGGCCGACACGATGTTTTCACAGTTATACACAAACATGGGTAGCGGCTGCATCCGTTCCCCTCTCAGTAGATTCATATTGGGGTCATCGGACTCTTCTTCATTCGTGGAGCTCTCCGTTTCGCTGGACCCATCCCCTTCCGTCCTGAAATCTTCCGACTGATCCGCTGCGTCCAATTCGTCCAACTCGTCTAAATTTTCGTGACTGCCCAAACCGCTGGCCGTGCCCAACTCTGCGACCCTCCCGATCTGGTTACTTTCGAATGACTCCCCCTTTGCCGCTTCAAACTCCGTGTCCATTATATATACGGGGAAGTAAAACTTCCAAACTCCTTGAATGTCCTTCACGGCATTTTTTGCCTGTTCCTTTAACTGCTCACCCGATTTGTATTTCTTCCCCAGGTTTATGTCTTTGTAAAGGGAAAGGTGTATCTTGTTCGATTGGTGTTTCACCCTGCCATCTTCACATTTCTGACGCGCAATTTTCTTTTTATACAGGTAGTTATTACAGGACGTGCTAAATGTTCGAAAAAAAATGTTTCCTTGCTTTGGAATTAAATTGAAGCAGTAGTATCCTTTTTGATGGTTCCATAAAATTGCGTCACCTAACAATATAAGAACGAGTGGTATCAACCGCATCGTACGTTTTTAAAAATGCATTTTCGTAAAGCTCGGATGATGTTTGGCCAAGGCTAATTCGCAGCTTTGTAAAAATATAATCTCTCCCTGGGTGACTCCCAATCTCTGTCAACCTTTTTTTCGCGTTATTATTATTTTTGTTTTTAGAGCCATTGGGAGAATTCTGCTATCCCTTGTAATATTTCCCATGCTCTTGTTTTCTCCAAAACAGGGTGTCCCCCGTTAAAAAAAAAAAAAAAAAAAAAAAGATATGCACACAAAAAGGTGCAAATGTTGAAAACGGACCCTTGTGGCTACACATTTTTGCAAATTTGCTTTTGAAAAGAAGCCTTTTTTAGCACCACTACCTTCGCAGCCTAACAGTCGACGTTTTGAAGCGACATGTGTGCCTCTTAAAAAGGGAAAGCCTGACGTCAACCCTCTAACCACGTCACACAGTAGAGAGTACAACATGTTTTGCTTCTTCCTCTTAGCTCGTTCGTCCTTTGGGGGATAGTAGCTAACGGATGTGCGCATACACCTATGTATACAACCCGATGTGAACAATTTGTACAGACCCCTTAAACTTGAACGGTGCATAATGCATACGCATGGCAACGGCGTGATGACATGCGAATTAGCAGAATGAGTTCTTTTCTTTTTTACCACTCAGTAGAGCGAACCTGTGGCTAACAAAATGTGTGCAACAGGTGGTGAACACTAAAAAGAACTCATTCTGCTAATTCGCAAAATCGCACATTTTGTGTTGCCTCACATGACCTGTTAATTTTATGTATTTATTTTTTTTTTTTTTTGTTTGATCCTTCCCCTTCATGTTTTAATTTGCTATAATGTCCTCGTTTTGTTTTTTCAAATCATCATATTGTACTAGCCCTTTAAATATGGGCTTCCCTTTTAGCCACATTTGCCCGTAACTGCATTCGCTACGCGGGGCAAATGGTAATGTACATGCACACCAAGTCGTGTAGCGGCGAGAAAAACGTACCACATGTCAGGGATGGACATGTTAATTAACGGACAAAGGAAGCACAAACAGTGTATACATGTTCCCAAGTGTTCATAGCAACATCACCATCTCATTCTCTCAAATTCGCGTATGTGCAATGGAATGGTCATGTGGTTGCTTTCAACATGTTTGCTAATTTCCCAATAATTAAAAAAAATAAAATAAAAAATCCGTTTCGTAACATGCCGCTCAACAGTGACATACAAATGCAAAGTTGCAAAGTCCTGTTGTTTTGCAAACGATCTAACAATCCGGCGCGCGACGCATTTTCGATTATGTTGGCATAAATAAAACGCAGTTCACTATGTTGTCCTATTTTTTTAAAACGAATGCATTTCTATGTGCTCCTGAGGTGGACCCCGTATTCAACCTTTCCCTTTTAATCAGGATTATGAGAGAGAAACTGATCGCATGCGCACGTACGAACAAAAAAAAAAAAAAAAAAAAAAAAAAAAAAAAAAAAAAAAAAAAAAAAAAAAAAAAAAAAAAAAAAAAATTGTATACATATATGCATATAAGTACATATATACTTGCCGAAATGGCAATTTTTTTTCACCCCGCAAAATTGTGTACCTGTCCGGGGGGCATTTTAGCCACTTAGTGGAAATTAACAAAAAAGACGGGAAAACGGTTGCGCGCGCGTGTAGCACACAGGTAACAGGTGCGTATAAACATATATACTTGCTCATATATATGCCCCATCATGAGTGCGCATATGCACAAATATGGCCCATTGGTCAGTCGAGTTTTTCGCAACAGAACAACTGCACATGGTTAAAAGAAAAATCGAGAAGGAAAAATAAAACGTTCGCACATATATACGTACGTCACGAACCAAATAGCAATTGTTTTTTTTTTTTTTTTTTTTTTGTTTTCTCGGCCTACCCTCTCCAGTCATCATTTCCCCACACTCCTTTTTTCACATTTTTGTAAAACACGCATTCAGCAATGTAAAAGGGTTTATGATTGTTCGTCCACAACTTCTGCATCATAACAAAAATAGGAAAACGACATAAAAACAAGACAAAAAAAAAAAAAAAGAAGAAAAGAAACAATGGGGAATTCCTTGTCCAACACGGCGTTGTTTCGTCCCACCGAACCAAGTGTACGTAAAAAAAAAAAAAAAAAAAAAGGAAACAAAAATAAAAATAAAAATTCGCACACATATGTACCGATACGTGTACTGCACAATTTACCCCTGTGTGGCGCTTCCCCCCCTGGCGTCATCATGTGCGATGAGGACAAATGGGAAACGATGAAGCGAAGGCGCAGGTGACTGTACGCCTTCGATCTGTCTACGCACTTGCACGTGAAAGTTTTCGGAAAGACAGAACATGGCGGGAAACGGCACGACATATAATTGCGCGGCTAGTGTGACACACTTCTTGTTCCCTCCTTTTCAATGGACCGTAACAAGCACACCTATATGTACCCACACATGTATATCCACACATATACTTAAGCATACTGTAACTCATCCCCTCCTTTCCCCGTGCAGTATGGAGAAGACCTGCAAAATCTAGTGTACATCCCCGAGCTACTGAACATCGATGTAGAGAAATTCTGGGGAGACAAAACATTCGAAATATTTAACAAAGAGGAAAATGTAAAAGAATTACACAAAAGGAAATTTGCAGCCATTTTTTTGTACTCAACAACGTTAAGAACCAATCACACCATCATGTACTTCCACAGCAACTCCTGCGATTTAGGACAAATATATGACGAAATGTGTAACTTGCATGAACACTTACAAGCGAACATACTCGCCATAGAATATACAGGGTTTGGGTTATGTTATTTGTCGGGATCCCCTAATCAATACAATATCAACAGGAGAGCACTAGCTGCATATAATTTCTTAAAGTCATTAAATTTAAAAAGTGAACAAATCGTACTATTCGGAAGATCCATAGGCACAGGAGTAGCTACAAAATTAGCATATAATTTAAAGTTACTTGGAGATGATGTTGGAGGAATTATTTTACATTCTCCATATGTGTCAATCGAAAAGCTAGTAGAAGAATATTTTACCTACTCATCTTACATCATTGAAAATATATATGACAATTTTAAAAATTTGTCTGCCCTTAGTAAAGGTGATGATAGTGACACTCCCCTTTTGCTAATACATGGGAAAGAGGATGAAGTTATTGGCGTTTCTCACTCTGAGTTCCTCATGCAGAATTTGAACAACAAGTTCAAGACGGCCTTCTACCCCGCTGACTCGTACCACAATTATTACTACGTCATTGATGTAAGTCACGCGCGAGAGGGCAAAAGGGGAAAAATGGGGAATATGGGAAAAAAATACAAAATAGCAAAAATTGGCCAATAATGGACACAAAAAAGTCCACCACTTGGCCCCCAGTATGTACAAATTTCCCCCCTCTCCCACTTCTTTCTCACCCGTATGGATCCTCGCCCGGAGCGCACATGCACACGCACGTGATGCACCTCTCCACAAACGACACCGTTTGAATTCTTTCTTGTCATTTCTCTCCATAGGACCTCGGTGTACCCAGCAAGACCTTCCTAGACACCCAGAGCAAATCGCGCCACGAGAAGTGCGTGGACATAATCGTGCCCAAGTCTTTCTTAAAAAAAGAGTATTGAAAAGAAAAAAAAGGAAAACGCATGTGACAGCAAGGGTGGCGATGAAACATGGTACCAGGTGTGACACCAACGGTGGCGATAGACGTGGCACCACTTGTGAAGCAAAGATATCACAATCATAAGGCGCATCACGTACCACCCAAACACCTGAACATCCCAATGAATTGCGAACTGCCTCGCACACTGTCGTCTCTATGGGAACAAAATAGGGTCTCGTTCACGCCTGCAAAATTGCTTCACACGCGTGAATATGTATGCACATGAATATAACCTGCTGAACTTACCAATCACCTGCTGCCTGCCCCCTCTTAGGCTCGAGACATACAGAGTTCTAACCGCAGATACAGCGGGGACGCAACTAGGAATAGGTAAGAACAAATCCGAAGGGACATCTACCGCACCAGACATAGAGCAAAAGAAAAAAAAAAAATATGTTGCATATAGTGAGAGGAAGAGGAATAGCGTCAATTCTCTTCCAACAAAACGCACCAATGAAAACGACTCGAAGAAAAAAGAAAAACAGTATAAAGAAAAATGGGAAACAAAAAATGATAAGAATGTCGGACATGTAACACCACGACGTGAAAAAGACAAAATGGGAACCATCGAACAGCCCTTTTCCAAAAACAGTGACAAAGAAGAAGAGTCCAAGAAAGAACCCCTAAAACATAGTCACAAAATTGACATAATAATATCATCTCTAAGCGAAAAGGGATTAAAAAATTTGAAAAAAAAAAAGCACAAACATAGTACAGATCTTAAGGGAGCATCTAGACATGGTCTGATAGCCCCCAGGAGGGATAAGCTCAACGCATCCGCACCCCCATCCATATCAGCATCTGCGTGTGCATCGGACAGTGTGAGTGAAAGGAAAGAGCGGGAACAGATATCAAGCAATTCGAAGAATAAAAATGCGGATTATTACAAGTCCAAAAAGGGGGAACACACACAAGAGACAAGGCACAGGAAGCCCCGTGATAAAGAACCATGTCGCATAGAAATTAAAAAAAAGGAAATGAGAGATAGTAATGAGACATGTGACACCATGCAGAAGATCAATTATAATGAAAAGACTTTAAGTGGTTGGAAGAAATGCAAAGAAGAAAGGAGCCATGGGGAATACAAACCTGATGGACAGCATAAGGATGATACTCTCTCCACAATTGATGAAGACGGGAAAAGAGAACACACTTAACCACATAGTGAACCGGGTAACCAGGTCGTTTGTGCCTGATTGTATTATGAAGGGGCACATATGCCCCCATTGGCAAAACCCCCATCTGACACGAGATCCTGTGGGTGGAAGAAGCTTGGACAGTACGCTTCGAAGCCATTGCGAGTTGGGGGCGAAAAAGCGGTCACCTCGTTTACATTTGCACATATTCCTGTGCGCCTCGTTTTAATTATTGCTGCTTTGATAGGAAGAATTTATTTTTTGTAATTTTTTTTTTTTTTTTTTTTTTTTTACTATAATTAAACTAAAAAAATGTACAAACGGCTGTCGCTAGATAGCACAAAAGTGCAACAAGGGGTAAAAATGGCGAAAAAAAAAAATTGTTTTGTCTTTACATATTTATAATTACAATTTAGCCCACTTTTGGTGGGTGAAAAATTCTTACATATGTTACTTCCTTGCCAATTGTGCCATATGCACTACGGTTTGTGCCAGTGCACTGTTCTCATGGGAAGGAGTAAATATTTTTCGGGGGAGGATTGCTAGTTAAAGTACAGAGGAATTATCTGAAGGGGGGTAAAGGCGAACGTAGAAATTATAACGATGGTGATGAATGCGACAGAAGGGCGATTCACACACACACATGTACGTGCACAGCATGGCTTACACATGTTCCTTCCCACCACTGCAGTAATTTTTAAACTGCATAGGGGGAAGGCACAAAAGCCGACTCGTACCTCTATTAAATGCAGGTACTGCGGGCACATTGGGCACTTGAACTGTCTGGACCTCTGGGCGTGAATTTTGTCCACGCAGTTCCTACGGACGGGGGGAGTGGGGGAAAAAAAAAAATTGCAGGCATGAATGCAGCACAAAATGTACATATTTGTTGGAGGGGACTTAAAAAAGCAGTACAGTACGTGCGATGCCCCTCGTATTTATTGCTTACTTGCAAATGGCGTGTCCGCATCTCAGAACGTAGGGTGGATTGTCCTTGGATGATTTGTCCCTACTAATGGGGCAGGTAAAGGAGGAGTGGAAAAAAAAACATCCACTCAAATCCACTTCTACCGCCAGGGAGTTTGAAAAGAGAGCACCATTTCCCTTGCTCTTTTTATTTTTATCCTTTCCAAATTTTTCAAAGCATTTGTCTCCATGTCTTTCGCTAGCAAATGTTAGGGACGAGCTGTTCTTCGCCTCCTCTAGTCTTCTGTTATTTTCCTTCAGGATGGCCTGCGCCTCTATAAGCTTCTTCGAGGAGATCAGTCCTCCGCACACCAGAACGGATAGGGGGCTAAACGGGGGAAAAAAAAAATACATACGTACGGGTACGTATACAAGCATATATAAATGTACATATGACAGCTCTTTTGATGTTCCTCAGGGTAGAGCATGTCGCAAGCGGCATATTAAACATGGAAAAGGAGCCCCAAAATGCAGAAAGACACAACGGGCAAAAAGACCATACGATAATTGATTCTAGGGTAACACCCAAAGGACAGCTTGTTAAACGCGAGCCTCAATTGCTTCTACTCATTCATGTGCGTCCTGTTTGTTCGATCCCTCCTTCTTTTGCTTTCTTTTCTTACCTCTCCAAGTGGATGTAAACCTTTTTCTCCTTGCAGCTCTTGTCCATTCCTTTCTGAATCTCGACGTCTCCACAACTTGCGCAGTTCTTATCTCCGGCGTCCTTACTATCTTGTGGCTCCCCCTTATTGTCGTTTTTGTTCTTTTTCCCTTTATTTTTTTTTTTGTCCTTTTTGCTAGAGTCCTTTTTGTTCTTTCCTTCGCCGTTGCTGTCGCTGTCTCGGCCTCTTCTACGACGGCCTTTTTTACCTGAAGGGTGGGAAGTGCGCGCGTTAAGTGATTTAAACACTTCGCGCGTGAATCCACAAGTGGAAGCTTCCCTTTTGCAGGCCTCTCCAGCGCATGCCTGTTCATTTCCACCATACCTGCTACGCACTTGACGCTCCTGAAGCAACCCCAACCATCTTTTTTACTCTTAGCGACCTTGCTGTCACTTCTGTCGTTTTTATTTCTCTTCATCTTGACTTCCATCTTTTCGTCGTAAAAAAAATTGGGGTCATATCTCCTCTTCTTGAAGTTCTTTTTGTAGGACCCCAGGAAAGCACCCTTCTTTTCCTTCCTGCGTTTTACCTCCGTGTTTTCCTTTCCCTTCACCTTTTCTCCGTCCTTCGAGTGCTTGGAGAGATCCTGTGGGTGATCCTTTTCGTCTGGTTCTTTTCCTGCGCCTGTGTCTTTTTCCTTGCGCACATTTTTCCTGGCCCCTTCGCTTCGTTTGCTGTCGACTGCTTCATTTATGGGGTTTTCCTCTACTGGGGCGTCTATCCTGTGGCCTTCTGCTTCCAGTGCAGTCATCCCCTCGTGCGCTGCTCCCTCCTTGCTATTCTGTTTTTCATCCTTTCCGACCGTTGCCTCTGAACAGTTCTGATGAATTTCCTTCCCGCTCTGCGCAGCAGTATAGTTCTCATTGTTACCAGCACCACTTGGGTTGTTCCTAGTCTGGTCCCTGCTGCCTGCCGCAATATCTCTCTGTTCCGTTAAGGTACCATGCGAGTCTTCTACCTTTTCGGCAGATTCGCTGTTACCGTCCTGCTGCTTTGTGTGCATCTCACCACCATCATCTTCCTTTCCTTCTTCGCATTTTTCAGATAAAACCATTTCCTTTGCTTCAATTTTTGGTTCACCCTCTTGAGCATTTTCGGGCAGGGTCCCGCCTTTAGACTGGGTTGGCAAATCCTCGGCGGCTCTTCCTTCCCCGGTAGCAGGGGCATTCTCGGCATTCGAATTCGATGGAGCAATTATTTTATCATCATCTTGGACGTTCTCTTGAGGCATTTCCTCTACAGATGGGACATTGTGCCCCACTTGTGTTTGTTCTACACTTTGTTGTTCTTTCTTCTTTTCTACTCCCTCATGGAACGTGTCTGCCTTTTCTCCCTCCTTGTCTTCATTTCCCTTTCCCTTATTCTGCTTACGAATTTTGCTATCCTTTGTACTTTTTTTTTTTTTTTTTTTTTTTTTTTTTTTTTTCTCTTCTGCTTATCGTCATTGCTGCGACTCATCTTGCCCTTTCCTCTAAGTCGCTCCTTTCGCTTCTCTTTCTTGGCCTTCCACTTGAGACAGATACGTCGAAACTCGGCATTGTTTTTATAATTCGAGAGAGAGTTATGCAGGGTGTACATTTCTCTATTGGTTAAAGCATGGGTGAGTACTATTCTGGTGACATCGGCGGGAGTTTTGTTTGCCCTCGTGTTTTTAGCTGCTAATATAGCCCTATTGTATGCCTGTATATTATTCGTGTTTAGCAAAGCAATGGCAGTGTTCTTTTTTATGAAATCTTCCTTTATTAAATCTACTTGTTCTTTCACTTTGTTGAGATCTTTTTCTGTATTTTCGTCCGAACTGGCAGAGGTGGAGAACTGAAAGTCGTCCTCACTGGAGTCCATCATGGCTCTATCCGAGCTGGGGGTTCTGTTACTTTGAGAGCTACTAGTCCACTGCTCTGTACCTCCCCCCAGCTGCTCCTTAAACGATTCAAAATCTTCATCCACATTTTTAACTTTTGTTGAGAGGGTACCACTACTGCTATTGATTATGTCACCTACCACTACATCATCATCGTCATCTTGTTTTTCCTTCTCTTTTTCCCCCCTATTCTTGTTTTCCTTCTGTTTGTCACAGATGGCTGGGTTAGTAACATTCTCGGTTTTGCCCTGTCCTATGCTGATTTTTTTTTCCTCTTCCTGTGATAACAACGCTACGCTACTAGCGGCATCCCCTACATACATGCTGCCTGCACCCTCAGTGGACGATAAAGTAGTATCCATTTTTTTTTTCTTCTTGTCGCTCATTTTTTCACTTTTACTATTACGCGCTAAATATTTACACTTGGCAAATTTCCTCTTCAAACTGTTTGGCTTTTTCATAAAGCACGAGTTCGTTAGCGCACGAAATGAATGTATCTCCGAAATGTTACAATTGTAACCACCTGGTTGTTTGCAAAAGCTGACATATTCATTACCCCTATTATGCGGAAAACATAAATGGGAACCCCCCCTCTCATAGTAAGAATTGTTTGTACAATATGTGCTACTGACATTTAGAAAGTTTGTATAGCCACTATTTAAATTTTTATTCGTGCTTCCCACAATTTTGGTGTCATTATGATCATAAAATTGTGTTGCTTTCTTTAACGTTTTGTAGGTTATATAGGTGCTATCATTTTGGTACATGTGTGAAAATTCATTTTCGCTCAGTTCATACAAATAGACAGCTTCTGGTTCCTTCTTCTCATTCTTATATCTGCGATGATGATGATAATTGTAATCGTTTTTCCAACTTTGGTCTTCGTCCTTTTCGTTCCTTGAAAAATTGGCATCATTGTTTCCTGCATTTACTTCTACAAAAACATCCTTAGTGCATTTGAAAACGTGACTATACCAACCTTTGTTCAATTTGTCATCCTGTTCGCTGTCTCCCCGGGACAACTTTGCTCTTCCAACACAAACGCCGTCATTGTGTCTTCTCCTTCCAAGACTGGCGTATCTAACATCAGGCAAAATCAAGCTCTCTCCATTTACATAATGCTCATCTGCTGTGTCGTAAAAAAATGGATTACTCATCCTCTTTTCATTTCTCATAAACTCATCTATTCGATTTTCTATAAAAGTTTCGCTTAACGGCAGAGTGCCATCTTCCTCTTCCCCCGTGTTGCCATATGTATCGTCAGAATAGTAGTGAACGTACTTTTCTTTATATATATCATTATGAATTAATGGCCCCTGAGTGCTCCTGATTTTGTTGCTGAGGCCGTATACCTGCTGATGTGTCATACTTGCAGGGTGTATATTTTTTTTTTTTTTCTTCTTCTTCTTCTTGGATTTTTTCCCTATCACATTTTCTTTATTTTTCTTTATTTTTCTCTTCAAAATGTGCTCATTCGTTTTTATTTTTTTCATTTTCTCATTTCTGTTTTGGATCAATTTGGCCAGTTTTTTTTCCTTTCTTTTGGACAAAGCGCTGATAGTTCGGTTATCCCGGCGATCATCATCGGAGGGTGCATCCTGGTTATTCTCACTACTTTGACCAGAGCTTAAATTTTTGTTTTTTCTTTTTTTTTTTTTCCTTTTCTCTGACATTTGGCTAGCCAAACTGGTTCCTTCCTTCTTGTCACGATAATGTGCAGTCGCATCGTGGGATAGGTCACGCCTCTGGCGATTTGGACAATTTGGACAATTTTGACCATTTGGATCGTGTGGACCATTTTCGCAATTTTCACAACTTTGACCGCCTTGTTTGGTCCCTTTGTCCTTCCTGGGCACGGGGATGTGAATCCCCTCCTCATTAAAAGCTCTCTTAAAAAAATTGAAAACTTTCGAATGCACATTGGAAAACATATTTTTGAAGAAAACGTTATCCACACCGATGCAAATGAACGTGCTCAGTCTCGATATGTGCGATTTATTTTCACTGTAGTTTATCATCAGGTCCCTTAAGCAGCTAAGTGCCTTCTCCCTATCCTCCTTCGAATACATTAAATAATTAATACACTGTAGCAAATAAATTAGCTTGACATACTTCTTCCTCGTCGTTTCACTACAATTATTATACCACTCGATACACGTGTCCACTTGGAACTTCTTCAGGTTGTACAAAATCCTGTGCAGTTTTGTGTATCCCTCGAATATTTCTTTCTCAATTAATGCATGCTCAAAGTCGATCTTTTCTGTGTCATTTTCAAATGATATTTTGCTTATATATTCTTTTTTCAGCTGGGAAAATAAATCACTCTTTGAATACACAAATTTGGCATATTTTATGTTGTTGAGTAGGACTGTATAGCGCTGTCCCTCGGGATTTATCTTATCCTTCTTGGAGAAACTCACCGCTGGGACTTCTGTGGTGTGTAGACAGTAAGGAGGGTCCTCATTTGGGGAGCCAGCCTGATCGGCATTTTGCAATCTCCCCTCCTCGACGGGCACACCCCGAAATGGGTTCCCATTATACAACGCTTCGTCCCCCTTTCGCGCGTTTGACTGGACCGATTGGACAGTCCGCTGCTCCTGCCCACTTTTGCCATCGCTATTATTAGCGCAGCATTCGGATGGTCTATTCCTGTCGCCTACCAGCGACCCATCCGCCTCCACCTTCTCTTGCTTGCAAAATTGTATCTTGTCATTCGGGGCAGAATTCTGGCCCAATGTACTCACCACAGGCGCATCCTTTTCCATTTTTTTTTTTTGTTTTTTTTTCAGAATTTCTTTATTTAACACGTAGTACATAAAGAAATCGCCCTTTTGCAAAAAGTGCAGTAGAATTAATCTAAGGATAACACTTTTTTTTATATTAACATGGTTGAAAATTTCTGGAGTTTCTTGTTTTATCAATGATATGATGCCCCTATAAGATGACAACAGAATGTTGTAAAATTTTTTATTTTCTTCACTCACCTTTTCTGTAATTTTCAATCCTTTGACGTCTTTTATTAGCTCCTTAATATCGTACTTGTTTTTTTCTTCACTTGTATTCACAATGTTGAGATTAATCTGGTCACTACTTCCATGCACATTTCCATTTCCACGCATTTTATCGCTTGCGCTCTTAACGGTGTCTTTTTTTTTGTTCTTAATTTTTTCTTCTACATTTTTTTTGGCCTTTTGAACTTTTTCCAGCAATTTGTCAATACTGTCTAGATAAAAATTGAATGTCTCATTTTGCTTAATTTTAAATTCGCTTATTTCCTTTTGAATTTCTCTAAAATCCAGATTCTTCGTGTAACTACTGCTACAGCTGCTACTGGAACCATCTGGTGTGTAATTTTCTTCCTTCATTTTCTCCTGCTTCCCTCTTAGCGCATATTGGGTGGGGGATACATAAACGCGAGTAGAGAATTTTGGTAAATAAAAACTCAACCGTTTTTTTGTTTTCAACAGGTATGATAATTTACCGAAATGTTATGAGAAAAATGAGTAAAATATGTCATCCATTTGGGAAGGCAGCGCACTGCATATAAAAAAAAAAAAATCAGAACTGAAATAGTTCCAAGGGAAAAAAAAAAAAATTACACATAAATGTATCTAAGCATAGGATCAGGCAAACAGCTTTATATGCTCACAAGAGCACTTAGGCAAATATGCGCGTAAAGGTACAAGCAATGGATAACAATTACGCAGGCGTATAATTATCCGAGTCCGCTCAGTCCTGTTATTTTGCATACAGGGAATGGCAGCCACGCACAAATAAATCTGTACATACGTAAATATATGCCTTATGTACTCCCCTCCACCTTTGTCGTTTGCTTCGTCATTTTTGTAAACAACCATTAGTGCAGCGACTAACACATTGTCTACTCGCTTGCTCCGTAGCGGCACCTTTCTCTGTTAATAAATCATGCTCGCCAGTATGTATGACGAAAGGTGATTTTTTTTTTTTTTTTTTTATTCCTTTGAATTTATGGCACAAAGGAAAACACACAGGCGTGTTGACGTCTTTGCATGTGAACATGTAAGCATGCATGCCCTCAAACATGGGCGTACAGGAAACAAACAAAAAATGGAGTAAACGCGTGGCCACGCAAAGGCTTTAAGCAGTGAGCACGTGTACGGCGTTTACACGCGAGCACATGGTAGTTTTTTCTTCAGTAGCAAAAATTGAACAAAGCATTAAACCGAAATGGAAAAAAAAAAAAAAAACAAAAATAAAATATAAAATAAACACATTAAAACACCAATTCACAAGCCAATGTACGTTCTTGTCTATAAATGAATTTAATTGTACATATTGTTATAAGTGAACTCTTAAAAAAAAAAAAAAAATCTGTAGCTTTTCCTGATACAAACTTTATAAGACATGGCATTGCATTAGGTACATAAAAAAAATAAAGTGCACAAATCGCACAAATTGTGAAAATAATGAAGCTGACCAAAGCTAAGCAAACTCTACAACGTTAAACAAAATTACACAAAACGCGTACAGGGGAAATCATCACAAAAGTTAAAAAAGAAGAAAAAAAAAAACAGTAACAATGAGGCAATAAAATGCATAAACTTCGAAAAGTACACATCCTTGCATTTGATAATTGCGCTTAATTTTTGTTTGGCATAAGGGGTTAAAGCTACTTACACTAGAGCGGCTATCATATGCATGCCTACAGAAAGGGTTTAAAATGATTAAAGTAAGCTCTTGGGGCAAGTATCTCCCACACGTATAGGCACATGTAGGTGTACGTACACTTATAGGCATTCACATTAACTCCTTTTCCAAGTGGTCACCACCAAATAGCCATACTAGAAAGATAAAAATAAAAAAAAGGAATTAAAAAAAAAAAAAAAATCTATATTTTTTATCAGCAATAAAACAGGTTAAAGATTAAGCCGTTAACCCATGTTTGTGCACATGGGACTTATGTATGCATTGACTACCACGCATATTTACAATCATAGGTGCACGCGTGTAAACCTTTTGCCCGTTTATTTTCCCGTTCCGTCCCATACACTGTGTGCCATGCAGGACAGCAAACGAGCGGTGAGAACGACCTATACCAATGCTCTGATGAAACAACTCCCATTCAAAAGAATAAGATCAAAAGTAAAGTAACAAAATAAACACCCAAAAAGTAAAGAAAAAAAACGAAAGGGCAAAATAAACAGACTCGGGATATTCCTCTTTGCAGTATGGACGAAACGCAAGTAATATTCCCAATGATCGTTTTAGAAAAAAAAAAAAAACAAAAAAAAGGGGGATTCATGAGGCTTCACTGGAAGGGCGTGCGTTCTGCGCAAAATGCAACAGTCTACCAAGCAGATACACGCATTAACGCTGCGCTAGATTAGGGTTGATTCGCCTATGGTTCTCTTTACATGTCGCTCTATGTTCCGCTCTACGTATTGCCTTACTTGCCGGTGTATGTGCCTGCATATGTACATACAAGTCACAGGGGCATAGAACCATGCGCCCATTCTTCTGCGCACACGTGACACACCCCGCTGTGCAGAGCGCAAGAATTGTGGACCTCTTTAATTTAAAGAAAAAGGACAAGGACTACGTCGACAAGCAGGACCTAATAGTAATACTGAAATCGCTCGGGTACGCGAAAAAATAATTTCATCATATCGGTTCAGAGCTGTCTCAGTCATGTACGTAGACGACAGTACATCCTATTTCTTTCATTTAAATTATCACTTCGTTGAGGTTTGAGTATGTCGAGAGGTTCTTGTCGTCCAAGCGAACGTTCGCAAGGAGTAGCTCTCCCCTCTTGGTTTCTTTGTTCGAAGAACAGATGCCTGCACAATGATATGCACACCTTCGGGCTGCGGTTCTAACTATTTTGCGCCCCCAAATGGCCGTCAACACCCCCCAGGTTTAAAATATGCTACGAAATATTTGAAGACAGCAAAAACTGCTACAGCTTTGAGGAGCTGAGCGATTATGTGCTCAAATTTGAGAGCAATTACTACGCGAAGGACAAGGTGGACACGTGCTTTCGCTTCCTGAACCCACAGAGTATATATGCCTCCCACGCCCCATGCGTGAGTATGCACACACGTATTTGTGTATAGGCAGGTACAAATGTATATATATGCATATTTGCTTGCCTGTATAACTACCCCTCCCCAATAGGCGAAACGATAAGCAAAAGTTTGCTAAAGACTCTCCTGTGTGAACATGGAAACAAGTTCACCGAAAGCGAGTTTAAAAAGTTCTTAGTGGATATTCCGGTAATGCCCATTTTGTCCAACCAATGTTACACAAAAAAAAATATTATTAAAAGGGATGGTAATTTTTCCCATTCTTCTATGTTAACAAAATAGGTGGACGCGCAGGGAAACATAAGCCACGCGGACTTGGTTCAAATGTAAGACAAAGATAACACAATACGGAGGAAAGGGGTGAAAATGTGAACGAAAAAATGGGTGATGCACCAGCGGCATGCCCAGACAGCTCCCCCACAAGCGCTCTGCTCCGCTTCTCGCGGCTTCACCAATTCTGCAGCTTATCAAACTACGTCGAGTATTGATAAAAGTGCCACACGTGGAGTAACACCACCAAAAGTGGGGAGCGAATGATAATCAGGTAATTTTTTTCCCAAATGCGTACTTCACCGTTTTTTCCATATTCATCACGAACGGACAAGCTTTTCGTTATTATGCAAAATATCGATTAGCAATTTGAACGTGTCTTTTATTTCCTCCTCGTCCACATTCTTCATATACTCCGCTAGTTTCTCCACCTTCTGATTTTCCTTGTTCGAATAAAAATAAAAAAGTTTCAACAAATTTGTTGTGTCCACATTCATCAGATTATACAGGAGCTTTGCTTTCTGCTTGTCCATGTTATTTATGTTAGTATTTAAGTAATTATTTATCAGCGTGTCTAGCTCGAGCATGCCGACCTGAAGAAAAAGAGGGGTGAAAAAATAAGTTCATATATAGCGAGGCACACGTGTATATATTGGTTCACCATCTACACAGTTGTCCTACGTAGACTCTTTCTGGGGGAATTCCCTACAGAAACATATGATGCATCGTTCAGGCCACATTCGGGCTAGTGTGTGGGGGTGTACACATTCCCGCCTCTATGCTATGTACACGCCGCGTTGCACTTTATGCGCATTTAAATAAGGTTTGTAATTATTCCCTGTTTTTCACATTTTTCTTTCCACAGTTTGTCCCCTCCCCATTTTTGCACACCAAATGGCCATTTTTTTTTTTTTTTTTTTTCTTGCAAACTATATGCCTATTCCTCAACTAACACTTTTAAATTTGCATCGTAGCTTTTTCTTCAAAATGGTGATATCCTCCTCATTGATGCTCTTCGTGGTGGAGGAAAATTTCCTCAGAAGTCTCACAACCGGATTCATATGTGCTCGGCAAGGTTCTCCTATATTCGCGTTGTAACTCTGTGCTATTCTGATTTGTCACCTTTGTTATGCCTTCTTAAATGTGGTATGTAATAAATAGCATATATTTCTTTATGCGTTTTTTTTTTTTTTTTCCTCGCTGAAAGAAACACTTTCCACATGAGCATTACTCATACAGGGGTTCCTACACAACATAATATTTCTCTTTCGTCGCCCCACTACGCAAACATATGTTTATAATCTGAATTTAGTCGCTACGCCTTATGCCATTTTCAAGTGTGCAAAAAAAAAAAAAAAAAAAAAATATATCCATTTTAACAGCTCCTTTGGAAAAAATAAATCCCAAAACTGAAGCTAACTCTTTGGGTGACAAATCATGTAAACAAAGAGTAAACAAATTTAGAAAAAAATGGGGAGCTAGCATTTGAAGAGGAAAATCGAATCAGCTCACATGACATTTCCTCCATTGGGGACTCTAAGTTCACATGCGGAACAGGGCGAACGGAATGTGTAAGGGGAGTCGAGAACCGGTAAGCAAAGGAGGGAAAGCGAAAGGTGCAGTTAATAACACATAATTCCACTGGCGAAGGTTAGACCCTACGTCCCTATGTGGCATAGTTCCCAGAGCAATGCCCCCCATAGTTCGCATCGCAGCTCCCTCAGTGCGTGCATCGTCGTGTGTAGCGTTGTATATCCCATCCCCCTCTAGTCCTTAACCTCGCCGCTCACCGACAAACATGGGGAAGGGCGCCGTGCACCCAAATGGCTCAAACTTCTGCAGAGCACTAAAGTACAACATCGTGGACAAGATGAGGACGCTGGTGGAGACCAACCTTTACGATCGGCCTCGGTGGCTGGAATGGGCAGAGAGAGCGCCCCCAATAGAAGTACATAACATCAGCCTAAAGTCAAGGTACAATAATAACAAGTACATCGATTTGGTGAAATTTCTGCTAAAAAAATATCCTCATCTGCGATTCCAAGACTGTTATGTGGAGGGCAATAATAATGTGAAGGGATATGACTTTTTCAGGAATGATCACATCATTACGCAGATGGCTACCCACCAGCTTTACTATATGAATAGAGGGTATGGCAAAAAGGAGGCCCTTGAAAAAGTGGAGAAGGAATTCTACAACAGAAGAATGGAACTGGAAAAAAAACAAAAAATAAACATGTGCCTGTCCATTGATAAAAAAATCAAGCCGCTTTACACAAATGGTTACGCTTATCTGTATGAAAAAATGGCAGACAATGAAAAGGCCCATCTGAGTCTTATCCTCAAGAGGCTTCGCTCTATGAGGGAAAAATTGGAGAAGGAGCAGCGACAGAATGCTGCCCAAACCCATACGGATAGTACCACCAACAATGAGTCAAATGAGAAAAGCGCCAAAACGGATTAACCAAATGAACGTAGCAATCACCCACACAACCCCTGTGGAATTGTCCTTTGTAAAAACATGTCCACGGTGGTAAAGAATCATTTTCTCCGACCACACAAGATTAAGGGATGAACCTCCAATAATTCAACAGATGTTCACGAAAAGGACCATTTTCCTCCTCTTTTTTAGCGAAGTCGAATACGGCATTTTACACAACAATGCCCAAACGAATGCACGTTTGTTTATTTCCTGTTGGAAGAACCCAACATAAACCATCATAAGATTTTCGTATACACAAATAAGTTTATGTTTCCTCACCTTGGCTGTGTTAATCAGGTGAAGTGGGAGGTTCCCCCACTTGCATAGGTTCAGACACTTTTGTTCCACCTCAATGTGGAGAACGGAAAAAGGGCAAGTCCCGAACGGCATGACGAGCTACGATTGTATAGGCCCACATCGGCCACCTCCTCCAGCGATCCCACCGGAGGAAGTGGCGAACATGGTCGTTTGATTACACTAAATTTTGAATTAACTTAGTTGAATGGCAAATTGCGTTCTTTTTTTTGTTAATTTTGTCGCGTTTTTTTACCCCCTCCTGTTTTCTTCTGTTTCCCCGGGTGTCACCGCTTAAAGGTGAAGTAGACGTCTTCATTCAGGTGGTCGTACAGCACATTATTATGAACATGCTCCTGCGTGTAGTCGGGCAGATTTTCCAAATTCGAGCAGATGGAGGCCCCTATGAATTGGCGCAAGTTGGGGGATATCTTTGGAAAGAGAAAGTTAACTCTATTTTCCAAATCTTTCACGGATGTCTTTTTTTTCTCACGTAATGCTTGGAAAAGGGATTGAGCAATTTTCGAAATGATCCCCTTGATGTTACTGCATCCACCAACCAGCAGCACATTGTGGAAAGCGGAAAACTCAAACATGTGTAATTTAGACAGTATGGATGCGAACATAGAATTTATATTTTGCTCATAATCTTTCGTAAATAATATTTCGCAGGCCATCCACCTAGTATCTGCCTCTACGAGAATTTCGTAATTTTGAAATTCATACAAGACCATTTTGTTGCTATACAATTTGGTTTCTTCATTTTTTAAATAAAAAAATTTTATTTTCATATTTTCTATTTCATCATCTGGCATACTGTCGATGACGTTTAATATTTCCTCCAGTGGATATAAATCTAGGTAATAATTAAGTAGTTCATGCGAGGTCTCTCTTTCTCCTTTTTCTCCCTCCGTATTTTTTTCTTCGTGGGGAGTTGCCTTATAATCATCATCTGGGCTCTGTGTATTGGCAACGATGTCCCCATCATTGCCTTGTACAAATGAAGCACTTGAAGCTTCCCAATCGTCCACAGCTTTCCTCCTTCGAGCCCTTCTCACATACTGCTCCTTCAGTAACCTTTTAATTTCCATATTGATGTAAAACCCCCCATTGTCTACATACGCGTAATGGTGATATAATGGCATGCCATTCATTACGGGCAGCAACCGACAGCTCAAGTAACCCAGGTCGATCACCACACACGTGTTGCAGTTGCACAAGAACAGCGGCGACACTAAGTCGTTTATGTACGAGATAGAGGCATATTCATAATTTTCGATCAAACTTTTGCACAGGGAATATTTAATTACCGTGGGGATGAACATGTTCAAGAGCACGATGACTTTTTTTGCCTTGTTACTCGTTTTTATTAACTTGCGAAAAATGTGGAATGTGAACTCCTCGAAAAATTTGCTCCACAGCTTCTCGTCTTGGTGAAACTTGTACTCGTAGTGGTAGATCAGGCTCCCTTCGTTTTTGCGGCTCCCCGTGCCGGGGAGGCGCTGGTCTGGGTCAACACTGTTCAGACGTTGGTCCTGGTCAACACTGCCCTCGTTTGGGTCCGGATTAGCCTCTTTTTCGCTTTGGTTCTGGTTAGCATTTTTCTTCTGTTGGTCCAGGTTAGCACATTTCTCGCCTTGGCCCGCGCTATCGTCCCCCTCCGAAACGGTTCCCACCACGTCGTATACCCCCTTCTTATCCTCAGAATAATTGTGGAAAATTTCATTGTACCGAAAAAAATCGGGAGTCCTGTAAATTGACAGGGGTTTGTGAAGTCCTGAAAATCCTACATAGGTGTATTTGCGCCCTATAAAAAGATGGCAAGCAAAATGTGCATAGGTAATTGTAGGGGAAGCGTTGCTGACGTGTCGGGCTGTACAAACTGAGCGGTGCACCCTAACATGGATCTTAACACACGGCTCACTCCATTTTGCACACAAAAAAAGGGAAGTAAAAAAAAAAAAAAAAAAAAAAAAAA